ATTCTCTCCCCCATCCCACCAGGGGGGAGTGAGCGAGCAGCTGTGTGGTGCTTAGTTGCCGGCCGGGGTTAAACCATGATAGAAAGATACAGAATACCACATTTGTACAGAAGAAAAATATTATAAGACTTGCAATTTTAGTCAGTCAAAGATTAAGCACTAAATTATCTGAAGTCTACAGTACGGTCCTGATACATTGACCAGGCTTCATTTTGACATTAGAACTTTGCACTAAGGGACCATGTTGGAGGCACCAAATCATATCTAATATAGGAAAGTTTTTTTTAGTGAGCCAAGAGAAACACTTATATTAGCTACATGCAGAATATGTATTCATATAATGTCACACATAAGCACATGATTGAGATACTTCACCTGGTCAAATAGCATCATATTGACTAAGTGCTAATACACAGCAGTACTCTGCCTGATAGCTTTAACATCAAATCTGGGCCATCTTTGCACTTACAGGTTTCTGTGCAGCTGCTGGTAAGAATTACCCACCCTCCAACCCATGGCAGCACAGAAGCTGTTGCTGCAAAGAAAAAAAAAAAAAAACCACACCTCTTCAAGAACCATACTTCACCTCTGCATAACTGTCAAAAATGTGAGCCTAGCTGAATTAATGTTCCAATTGTTTATTTCTGCTAAACTTTGCATTTGACTTGTTACTGCTCAAATATTTAAGCTGTCACTTCTTTATCTGCATCAGACTTGAACCCATTTTTTCATTACATCTTATTTTCATTTTTTTCCATCTTGATGACTTAAGACTTACATACCATTCTGACCTGCTATTAGCAAAGTCACAGTACGGAAGAACACTGCAAAAAAAGTATACAACAGTTAACACATTTAGAGAAGTAATGAAGTAACTGAACCAGTAAACTTCAATATGAAGACAAAACTAGGAAATAGGATCAACAAATACAACTTGTCTACAAAAAACAAATTTTTATCCTTCTAATTAACGTGTTTCTGACTGTACCATTAAAAATGCAGCTTCCAAATTTCACCAATATAGTAAAAACTAAAAAAAAAAAAAAAAACAGTATTTCTGCTGCAAGCAAATAATATTAGGGTCCTACAGAGAAAAGTTAGTGTCTTACAGATCATATGAAACATGTTTTGACTAAGAACAATAAATGCTCAATATTATAAAAAGCATGTAAAAAAATGCTGACCTTGGTGCAGGACTTGGAATTAAATTATCTTCAACTGTTTGATGCATTGAAGTGGTTACTCTTATTTCAGAAGCAAACAAAAACCCAACAACAACAGAAATTAAAACCTACCTAATGTGATTATCAATAAAAGCATAGCTTGCATAATGTAAAACTATGCAGATGCTCTGTTTTTAAGATGAGATAGTAAGTAATTGTTTTGTTTCTCCAAAAGTGTTGGTACATAATTCATCAGTTTTGGAGCATCTACTTTTCAAGACTCCAAGTGGGGAAAAAAGGAACAAAAATCTGTTCATGTGACATACCCAGCTGACTGATCTGGAACTTTATTCATGAGAGCATTAGAAGACAAACCAAAAATGGAAGGGAAGACATTAAAATAACTAAAAATGAGATACTTAGTGAGAGTAGAATTCACAAGACTTTTCTTTCTTCCTCAGGAGAAAAACACTAGCACTCTAATAGATAAATATGACAGAAAACTCATCATCTACCCACTGGGAAGTGACATGAATGAAAGCTCCAAAAAAAAAAAACCTGAGAAAGACAGAAGGGGGTGGCAGAAATACTTCTGGTTTACTTGCAGCTACCTCTCAAAAAAAAAACAAAAAACAACCAACAACCCACCATTATAAAGAATAAACAGCTGCAGTCTGACATATTGACTCTTCCAGATCCTCACACCAAAAATCATATGCAACATAGCTTCAATTATTTACATCACTTCATTAAAGCCAAGTCACGTGGCATGCCATACCTCCTCTTCAAAATACTGTTCCGTCCTGTCACAGTGACAAAGAACAGGACAAGAGATTGTTAAATTGCACCTAGGCAGGAAGATGAGGATTAAGGCATTTGCACCAGGGTCAGAAAGCAACCAACAAACTTCAAAGGCAAGGCACTGCACCAATCTTAGATTTCCTCAATGGCAAAACACTCAAAACGAGGCAAGGTTTGCCAATAAAGGTAACATTTGCAGCTAAAGCAACGGGTTAGCAGACAAGCTTTGAGGCACAGAAGTCCTCAAGATCACAATTTAAACTTCTAATTTAACCTACAGGTATCAACTGGAGAACTGAAAACAAATGCAAAAATGCAGCACTCTCACTAGAAAATTATTTCTAATTTTTTATCTTCTATATCTGTAAATAGCCAGAGTTGATGGAAGTTATATTAGGCAGAATGAAGTCCTTAATTAAAGCTGAGGCTTCTCAGAGCCAGGCATCCATTTGGTGAGGTCAAATTACAACAGAGTAGAAACTACCACCATCATCATCCAACTATTATCAACACCACAAGATCTGTATGCCGGACAGTTCAGAAGCTTCTGTCATACATACAGATCAAAATGAAACAAATTTTTTTACCTCCCTAGTTCTCCTGATTTGTTAAAGGCCATCTGAGCCAAAACTTTCTTCTTAGAACAGAGGCATCAATCTAGACCACAGACAAATTTTGGAACTACATGTTTTACTGAAAGACACAAGCTTCATTGTAGTCTAATCATCTAAATGAAATACATAAACAAAAATGAGGGGGTTTTGTGTTTTTTTTTAAGGATGACTGATTTAAATTTGTCACACAATTATGAAGAATTTCAAGTCTACTTTTGAAGGCATTTCATGCAGCAAGGCTTGCTAAATCAGAGAATCTTAATACATTCTCACAATACATAAAAAATTACCAAACCACATTTAGTAAAGAAACAAGTGGAAAAAGAATAAAAATTGGTGGGTGCTGACTGTAATTTGTTTTACTGGAACATATCAAATAGTTTCAGTACTCTTCTGCTAAAGATATGAAGAAAAGCTGAAACAGGAATTCACAGCTACAAACCACACGAGACCACGTGGTAAGAGACATACCCACCTCAAAATGCAGGTGCATTGCCATCCACATCTTGCTAGCAAATAGTCATAACTGAACATATTAACTCAGTTTCTCAAAGACTTAATAGATGACAAATATGACTCTTAAGACATGTTCTCCATTAAGAAACCGGTTTGCCTCATTAGGTACACCAATTAAAGAACATTTTGTGACACCATGGATTTTCAAGTGGTAGGGATAAAAAAAATGCTTTCTCTGTATGGGTATCTAACATGCCACTGACTTACACAGCTACATTAAACTAGTTTAAAGATAGCCTGCATACATCTATCTACACATGTCTATCACAATATGGCTTTATCTTTGATCTAAGAGGGGATCTGAGGAATTCTAGCTGAACAGACTAAAAGACTATTGTCCTGAATTTGGTCTCTAATCTGGAAGACAGATCTAATTAGTAGTATTTTTCCCATCATATGTTGTTTAGTATGGTACCTCAGGAAGTTTTTCAAATGTGAGCATTAAGATAAGCCAAGGAAGTTCTATATAGGAAATACAGGTAAGGCCTATAAGCTTGTAACACGTCTAAGCATACTGCACAGACCTATCGGATGCACAGGTCTAAGGTGGGAGAAGAATGTTCTGGTTTTAGAATATTTCTTACATTAATTGCCTGAGACTAGCAATACAGCACTTTAACCCAGAAACACCTTTTTTCAAGAAAAATTATGAAAACAATATGGACATTATCTTCCCTCATTATCCAAATGACCCTGAGCATCTCTGGATCCAATGCATCTTCCCAGGGGCAGAGTATGAACCCTGGGCAGTAAGAGGGCTGAAACCTCTTCTAACAGGCACAGCAGACAAAGCAGGAGAGAAGGGCTGGCCATGTGCTTTGACTAGGTTGGGCAGGCAAACAGTGTGTGCCTTTCTTTGCCACTAAACTACAGCCAGAGCTCCCTTCACCAAAGTCCTGGAATTTCAGTACAGCATCTCAACTCACTGGTGCATTCTGGAAACTAGGAGTGGCAATGGAAGTGCGGATCTAGAGCTACATTCATTAGATTGAACAGTGAGACTTCAATATTTATTGTAACTCTCAAACAGAAATGTACAGTTTCGCAATGAATGATTGCAGACATGTTCTTTAAACAATGATAATCCAGTTAGGTATCACTCATTTAGACAGACACATTACTTTAATTATGCTCAAATTGTCTCCTATTGCTAAAATAAAAGTTAAATAATTTAATTTAGTACGGGATACAGCAGAGGAGAAAGATTAAGACTTGGATTAAAAAGCTTATGTGAATGCCAAAAAGAGAAAAAGATGACTCCCTACATACTCAGGAACCATTAGAACCCTTTAGCATTTTTTGCCAAACATGGTTTTATGTATTTTTTTATAGCGTTTTAGAAAGTTTTGCTAAGGCAACTTGTGTAACGACTATAATACAGCCAACATGCTGTATTATAAAGAAGACAACAGCAAGATCTGACTAATGTGTATTAAAGAAAACACATCCACTACCATGGGAACGCTGTTAGAATTCACCACTATTTCAAGTAGTCTACAGGAAGCTTTTCTGTGCTAGACTGCCTCTCCTAATAATCTACTAATACTTCTAAGACATAAACATTAATAGTATAACAGGGAACAAACACACAGACAACATCGTCAGCTTACAGCATTTTCATCTGAATAGGTCTAACAGATACAAGGAAACATGGTAGAAAGAATACCAGAATAAGATCACCACTTACGCCATCACTACAGCCAAGGATTTAGCTGGAACATTGAAACTAATTCACTGAAAACTCATTGTAAGCAAAGTTAATGAAGGTGGGAGAAACAAGGAACAAAGAAGAAAAACAAAAAAACACACAACACAAAAACCCAGGCGTTACAAGAAATGTACCAAATTCCGTTGAAAGCTGACTTCATCTAATCTGGTCTAGAAGTTTCACCAGAGTATGTTTGTTGTAATAAACTGAACCATACTAAAATGATGCCTATACCAAGCTTTTGGGATGCATAGCTCTAACAAGAAGAGAAGCAAGTTCCACCTCCCAATCTTCAGTTATATTGCAACTCTATCTGTATACGTAAGAGCACCAGCAATACCAGCAAAATAAAAGCAGAGTTAGTTTAAACATTAAACTACACATAGGACTTGCCAAGTTACTGCCATTTACAGGAAAAGCTCAAGAAATCTTGCAGCATACACAAGACATTAACGTACAGTTAAAACTACTTTTCTCACTTCCTGTGTGGAGGTAGCATATAAAATCCACCTGGAAGTACAATTCAAACATTATCAGGAGAATTTGTTTTTAACTATATCTTACAGAGTCCAAGTTAGTCTTTCAATGATGGTCTGCAAACTCAAACACTGCATAATAAAAGCACTTGGGGGGGGGGGGGGGGGGGGGGTGTGTTGTTG